AAGCAAGCTTGATAGTAAATCTGAAAAGTGTATCTTTATTGGGTACAAGGATGGCGTCAAAGGTTATAAGTTGTGGAATCCGGATACTAGAAGTATAACTTACAGCAGAGACGTTGTATTTAGGGAATGTAAGTTGAATCAAATTTTTCCTGAAGCTCCTAAAAAGTCACAAACAGTGGAGTTGGATGTGGGTTTGAAAGAGGATACAGTAAAATCACAGGTTGAATTGGAAAATTTGAATTCTGAAGCTGCTGAATATAACGAGGTAGAGGATGAATTTTCTGAAACCGAGGTTGAGGTTGAAGCACCAGTGCTGAGGAGATCCACGAGGGAAAGAAGACCATCTGAGAGGTATACACCTGAAAATTATATTATGTGTGCTAGTGATGATGTTTGTGCATTTAGTATTACAGGTGATGATCCGAGCACCGTAAGGCAAGCTAGGAGCTCGGAGGATGCCAAACAGTGGGAGGAAGCTATGAAAGAAGAGATGAAATCTCTGATTAAAAATCAAACTTGGAGTTTGGTGAATCTACCTGCAGACCGAAAAGCAATTGGTTGGAAGTGAGTGTTCAAGAAGAAAGTTGGTGCCAATGGGGAGATTGAGCGTTACAAGGCTCGATTGGTTGCAAAGGGATATTCACAGACAGAAGGGGTTGATTATGGTGAGGTATTTTCACCTGTTGCAAAGTTAAATTCCATAAGACTGATTTTGTCTGTAGTAGCTGCATATGACCTAGAGGTGGAACAGCTGGATGTGAAGACGGCTTTCCTTCATGGTGATTTGGAGGAGGTTATTTTCATGAAGCAACCAGAGGAGTTCATTGCAAGAGGCAAAGAGGAGCTAGTCTGCAACCTGAATAAATCTCTGTATGGCCTGAAGCAGTCCCCGAGGATGTGGTACATGAAGTTCGACACTTATGCGGTGAAGCTTGGCTTAGACCGCTGTGATGTTGATCACTGTGTTTATGTGAAAAGGTTAGAAGGTGACTTTGTTATTCTAACTTTGTATGTTGACGACATGTTACTCATTGAAAACAGTTTGAAGATGATCAGCACTGTTAAAGGACTGCTAGAAAAGCAGTTTGAAATGAAAGATCTAGGCGCTGCAAATGTGATCTTGGGTATGCAGATTAAGAGGGAGCGTGACAAAGGAAGATTATGGTTAAGTCAGCGGAAGTATATAGAAGATGTTCTGAAGAAATTCAAGATGACTGACTGCAAGCCTGTGTTGACTCCAATGTCTACTGGTTCTAAGTTATAGGCTGACCAGTGTCCCAAGACTGAAGAAGAAAAAGAGGAGATGGCGTCAGTTCCTTATGCTAGTGCAGTTGGGAGTCTGATGTATGCCATGATTTGTACTCGACCTGATATTGCTCAAGCAGTGGGAGTATTGAGCAGGTATATGTCCAAGCCAGGAAATGAGCATTGGAAGGCTGTGAAGCGTGTGTTCCGCTATCTTCGTGGTACGTCTGACCTTGGGTTATGCTATGAAGGCGTGAAGGGCTCAAGGGGACAGACATTGTTAGAACTGAGATGCTTTGTGGATGCTGATTGGGGAGGTGACATTGATAGTAGAAGGTCTACAAGTGGATATGTTGTTTCGTCATTCAGCAGACCTATCAGTTAGATGAGTAAGAGGCAGAGCACTGTTGCTTTATCTACTACAGAGGCTGAGTACATGGCCTTGACACATGCTATTAAGGAAGCTATTTGGTTACGGAGGTTGTGCAAAGAGCTTGGCTTTGCACAAGGAGAGATGATCGTTGGGTGTGACAGTCAGAGCGCCATTTTCTTGGCTAAGAACCCAGGTTTCCATGCGAGGACCAAGCATATCGGCATACAGTACCACTTCATCATAGAGAAGATTGAAGACAAAGTTGTATTGCTGGAGAAGGTTGACACAAAGGTCAACAATGCTGGTTTTCTGACCAAGGCAGTGACTTTAGAGAAGTTTGAATGGTGTACAGCTGCATCGGGATTGAAGAAACATGCGAAGCATTGACCAAGTGGAAGAATGTTGGGTATGGCTCATACTTCGCATGCTGATGATGGCCCTAATTATCGGGGTCAGCAAAAAGGCAACTAGGGTTCCGCTCCCAGATGGGGGTCCGGGGGGCAGCGTCCCCAAGCCCGTAGAGGCTAGGTACTGTTGTGGGCCTCTGTTTTATTGTAATTTTGTTAGCAGTTTGGGCTTGGGCCCATGAATAGCTGCTGTTAGGATTTTGTGATCCTATTTATATTTGTCTTGTAAACCGAGAGACTTATAACGAGTGGCGATGAGGTGAATATAGTACAGACAAGCTGGACGTAGCCTAAATTGGGTGAACCAGGGTAAATTGCTGTGTCTACTCTCTCTCTTTTTCTTTTCCGTTTTCGATTTGTGTGTTGTCGATTTCCAACAGCAGTCGACCACCATAGATATCCTTTCTTTTGTTTCTTTTTGTGCTTTTAGGAGAAAAGAAGAAAAACCAAAGCTGGTCTTGGATTCCTCTATTTTGTTTCCTTGCTTTATGTTGATTCGATGTGGGTAACATCCTGTGTGCATCCAATCTGTTAACCTTTATGGTTGTTAAGCCCAACGCTAAAACAAAAAAACAACTATACAAAAATAATCACTAACCGTTCAACAGTTTAACTTAGGTTAATACCGTTAAAACATCAAGCAATACTACAATAGAGTCCCCAACTCCTTCCATTGGATAACTGTCAAAGAAACATATTCTACACCTTACCATTTCTAATATTGGGAATGCATGACTTTACCAAAAATTATAATATTTAATATGAAAAATAGATATATTGAGGTTTCAACAAAGTATAACATGAGGCATTTGATTCAATATAGCTCGGAGTCATGCAACTCACAAAATAATTATTCAAAATTGGTCTCTGAAGTTAATTGTTTTTAGACTAGTTTTTTACATCAATGGCCGGGACAGCTTGTAAATCCCATATATTTTATTTTGTCATTTTAGTTGTAACAGTTTCATGATCCAAATTATCCAAACTTAATGGACCTATCAAATTAAGATTATAATTTTAAAATATTTAAATTAACCAACACACATGTTTTCTTAAGAAAGGCGTAGTTTTGAATTTCTTATTGTACCAAAAGATATGTTAGAGTGAGATTTTTCCAGTCAATGCAAAAATAAAATTTCATAATTTTATTTTATTTCATTCTAAATAATTATATATGTCATTTAGGAATAAAGAAAATATTTCTAAAAATTATATAATTTGAAAAATTAATTTAAGGTAATCATTTTAAATGGATGTATCGGGAGTCCCGTGGGATTAAGTTTCCATCCTTTTCTATGCACAATTAGACTTCCAAACCTCAATTTAAAATTTTAAAAACCAATTTGCAAAATAAAAAGAATTTTTCAATTTAAATAAAAGGAATTTGTCAAATAAATTTTGTGTTGGGATGCTAAATCTCTTCTTAAAGTCATGTGGATGAAAGACTACAATATTTTCTTGTGGTGTTAGGGTTTTGAATCTTTAAAAAAAAAAAAAGATAAGTCAATAGCTCCTATTAGTGGAATTTAATTGGCTTAGTTTGGACATTATTCTCCCTTAAACTAACTTTATTCATTATCACTTATAAGAAACTTCGTACATTTATTCCATTTTGATAATTTGGATAGCAATTTTGTTCCACCATATTATAATGGAAAAAAGTATTGAATGTTACTAATCAGACCAACACCAATTGGGCTGGATCTAACCACACACGATTGAGATTGTAGGAAGTTGACGAAGTGAAGAAGAATGAGAATATGGTTGCTGATAGGCTGGAAGGTCTTGCAAGATAGGATGAAGTGTTGGTGAGATTGGCACAAGATTTCCTGGATCCACTGGATTGTTAATGAGCGAATGTGGGGTACCTGCAAAGGCATCCGACGCTCAAATCAGTTTTTACTCTAATGAGTTCTTTTTATTCAAAGAGAGATAGCATATCTGGGCTAATGGCCTCCGTATTTATAATGATCGAGCACCTTGTTTGTCACCGTCTTTTTATTAGGCGGCATTCATGTTGATTGGTGGAGAAGGGTGGTCTCTCTCAAGCTATTCCTTAATAAGCAAGCCTCAAATTTATAGGTTAGGTGGCAAGCTGGAGTTGTCACCTATTTACTTGCCCTTTGAAGTGGCCAACTTGTCTGAGCTTCTAATTAGCTACTGACTTCCATAATGATGATTTCTTGTAGGATAAGCATTATTGTCTTGGTGATCAAGTATAGGCGAGATAGGCACTTCTTTTGCGACATAGGTTGCCTTTAGAGGCTATGTCGCCTAAGTTGCTTGGGCCTTACTTTGTATGTTGAGCCCAGATCAGAAGTCCCCCAGCTTGTTGCTTATGCTGCAGATATAAGGAGCGAGATGTTTCATTTGTATTTTTTCACGCGGGACATCTTCACTTAAACTTAGATCCTTTTTCACCTGTGGCGAGATACACCACGTTTTCAGAAGATTTGCACTTTCAGTAGATTTTGGCAATCCATCATTACGGCGTTTAAGAGACCGTTGATGTGATTTTAACTGCTAGAGTATTAAATGTTCCCCTCAGCTTAGTCCCACATCATGTATACAGTAGAAGTGCTATAAGGAAGTTAGTCCCACATCATGTATTTCATATTATATTTAGTCAATAGTTCTATATATAATATAACATTCGTTGTGCTATTACACACACGAATTTATTCCAATATTCTTTTGTTCTCTTCTTTCTCCACAGTTTATATTAGAATGTATGCATAATTTGTTATTTCATCCTCTTATCAATAATTATACACCAATTTTTTTTTTATACATGAATATCACCAAATTTATCATTGGATTTGGTAAGCTGAAATGACATGGTCAAGAAGACACGTCTTGGATGCTCCTTGCTCGTTGATTTGTCGAAACATTTAAAATATTTGCATCTCTATTTCTATTTCTATTTCTATATGATTAATTGCAACAATTCGGAAAAGGAGTTTATTTGTGCCGTAAAATTGACATAGACATATTTGTCCTTGCATGTTGGAACTTTAGTTTAGGGCCTCCCGGCCCTCTCAAATATCAACTGAGAGACGAACAGAAACCTAAACGTGAAGGAAAAGGCGAAAGAGAAACTGAATGACTAGGATACGGGGCTTCATTTAATGCCACGTCAGCCATTTTCCTTAAACTTGAGCTATTGCTAGGAGACGCATAAGGTGATTTTTCAAGTATCCTGCAAAACACAGCAACCAACAATAAATAAATATATAAATATATTAATGGCTATTTATAGGGAAATACATTGACGAGATCAGTTTAATGTAAAGAATGCGAAATGTTAGTGCGTTAATTAAATTTGTATTATATACCGGTTTCGACGTTTTTTGAGGAAACATTGGAGAGAATACCTTCTTGCCATCGGAATCCCTGGAAATTAACACAAATTATTAATTCCAATATTTGGTGTGTCAGCTTAATAATTAGTAGCTATGGATATAAATAAGTGAAATTATACCAATATAAGTAAGCTTATTTTTTTATATGACAGTTAAACAAGCAACTTTAAATTAAGAAAAAAAAAGGGTGGGGGGAGTGGGTTGTTCATTCTCATAAATGACTTGATTTTCAAGAGAGCCCGATATATATATATATATATATATATATATATAGGCAAGATATTCTTACACCAGTGTAAGAATTAAAAGTCTTACATAATTGATTCACTTGTATCAAATGGCTCATATTACTAAAAAATTAGAGTCATTAGATATAACTGGGATCAACGGATAAGATTGAGAGTGTAACTTACACTGATGTAAAATAATCCTGACTTATATATATATATATATATATATATGGGGCAGGATCATCCTACACCGGTGTAAGAATAATAAGTCTTACACCAAATTTAACCATTGATTTTTTGCATCTAACGGTTAAGATTTATTAGGTCTCACTCATTAATTAATTTTTAATTCCTAATAAATCTCAACTGTTAGATGCACGGAAATCAACGGTTAAGATTTGGTGTAAGATTTATTATTCTTACACTGGTGTAAGTTGATCATATCCCTATATATATATAGGGTTTACTAATCTCATGTTACATGAGATAATACTCTCATGTGGATGACACAAATATGTGGAGTTCACAATTTAAAAAGAAAAGAAAAAATTGATACAAAATTCTATGGGTGTATGACATGAGATAGGTGTCTTATGCAGCATGATACTACTATTTCCCTATATATATATATATATATATATATATATATATATATGGGGCAGGATATTCTTACACCGGTGTAAGAGTTAGAAGTCTTACACTCAATCTTAATCATTGATCCACTTGTATCCAATGGCTCATGTTACTAAAAAATTAGAGCCCTTAGATATAAGTGAGATCAACGGACGAGATTAAGAGTGTAACTTACACTGGTGTAAAATGATCCTGACCCTATATATATACCTATTTTGGGTTTGTTTATCGGTGTCACATTAGATCGATAAGATGGTGCTTCCATATGCTTTTTTGGAATTTCTGTTGCCGCGATATTTGATAATGAGCTCTCGCTAGCTAGTAGCATGATAGCTTGAGCCTAGCAAATTGTGAAGTCACACCAAGTTAGGAGAAATAAATACAAGGAACACAAATTCGTTCAGGCAAAAAAAAGAAAACGAAAAGGAGGAGGAAAATTTAGAACCTTGTCAACAGGAATGTTATCGTAAACATTTATATCACCTCCATAAAATATCGTAAGCTGTGCTGTTGAAAACCTATCTTCTGACAGAGGTGAAGGCACTCCATCACACCTTGAGCTTGATATATATAAATAACAAATTGATTATGGAAAATAAATTTTAAACAAGTTAAAAAGACGATCATAAATTTGTGTTGATGTATATGTTAATTACCTCATTTGTGGAAGGAGCTTTTGCTCTAAGGAAGAAGCTTCTCTTTGAAACGAGGGTTCACATTCTTGTCTGTCTGCTCTTCTGATGTTACTTCGACCCCTAGTGAGCAGGTATTTCTTGAAAAGGCAAATAGATTGAGACATGTCATTTATGGATCTCTTTTTCGAATTCAAGGTTCCTTTCTCACCATCACTAAATTCACCATTTGGGTTAGAGTCTTCCTCATTCATCAACTTGTTTACCAAAGCTGAGACGACGCTTGACATGATGGCTTCATTATTTTCCGGCCATAACAAAAAATCAATGACGTCACTAGAACAACATTCATTAGCTACTACTGAGTTGAAGTTTAGTTTTATTGCATATGTCATAGTTGAAATAAAAGATTGGTTGATATAATTAATAAGGCTTAAAATCCCAACAAATTAAAAAAGAAAAAGAACGGAAATGTTTACCTGCGAAGAGAGGTGATATGTTTTCTGGGTAAGTATTGAGGCTAAAATGGGAGGTTATATATCTCTGTGGTTGTGGGGCTGTAGAAGGTGGTAAATACTAAAGACAAAGCGGATTGAAAATAACGCATAGAATTGATGTCGTGGAGCGGGCTTTCGATGGATCCCAAATACATGTCTTGACTTTAGTTGGTGGATGGATGCTTTGGTGACAAATGCATGCGTACGTACGTGTGACTTTTCTGTGCAATGCAATATCAAGTTCGATCTGACAAGCTCATGTTAGGAATGTTATAATTGAATATCCACACAGATGCAAGAGACAACCATATTTGTGTATCTACAAAAAAAAAAATTCTTTTTTATTTTTGTTTCCTTGCTCTTTTTCTTTTTCTCTTGATCTCTTTATCTACATTTCATACAAACTATCAAAGGCTATTTATAAGCTATAAAACTGACCAACATAACTCCACACATAACACCCTCATTACTTTATAACTGACATAACTGACTCATTAATATTCTAACTGACATTACTGACTAATTAATATTCTAACTGACACAAGAAACTAAAAAACCAAAACTGCTAAAAAACGGACATTTAAAATTTATCCCAACAAAACTCCCCCATAAATTTTAAATTCTTCTTTCTTTCTTCGAGTTGCTTCTGCTTTTCTTCAACTTTCTGATCGCGCCTGTTTTCTTCAATCTTTATCACTGACAAAAAACATCTAACACCTTCCAACTTAATTAACTCAAAAAAATATCTCCCCTGCAATTATTTTTCTGAACATATAATCCGGTGACTTCTTCAATTTGATATTTTCAGTTTGATACTTTCCTTGTTTCCATTCGCTGCATCTTCTTCACCTGCAAGTTTCTCGTCGCCCAAATTCTTCTCAGTTTCATTCGCCACTTCATCAGTTGCTTTCACAATTTTATTTCCTCGTCCAATCCCAATTTCTGCATCATTGGTATTGTCAACAAAACCTCTTTTTCTCTTCAAGACCACATCATTTTCTTCAAATGCACCTTCCATTTTTTCGCCGTTCTCGGCTCCTTCGTTGTTGTCTTCCTCGCACCTCCTCAATGGCATCTCGGACCATCCGGGGTCGAAGTCACGCCGGGGTCGAAGTCTCTTCCAAAACATGAACTCGGTGATTTAGCCGGGATCTCCCCCATCCCGTTTATCAACATGAGACTCGGATTCGCAGTCTTCTCCAAGCCAGTCTCCATCAAGCATCTCGGATTCCACGCTTCTTGTTCCTTTGCTGGCTTCTCAAGCTCCTTCGACATCTTGTCTTCTTCCTTATCCTCTCTATCCGTCTTCTGAATTGACTCGCTGCTCTCAGCGTCTTCGATCTCGGCTCCCATAGCCGCAGTCATGGTCTTTTTCTCTGATTCATCTCTCTCACGCTCCAACGCGTCGATCTTCTCCGCGGATACATTGTCGTTGGCAACCTCGGACTCCGCCATCTCGGTCTCTTCTTCATCCGCAAGATTCTCCTCATCTTCATCATCATCATTGAAGATTTCATCTTCTTCATTAATCAGATCAAAAAGTCCAGGTAGATATTTCGCTATAAAGGCTATTTGAAAATTCTTCCACATGTTATTAAAATCGCGGCAGTTCCATGTACGGAACCATTTGATTGCGCTTCCTCTGAGTCTTCTCATGGCTACCTGCCATTTGTTCTCCGTCCAGTTCTTTTCTTTCCGAAAATGTTCCTTCAAACAGAGAAGCCAATCTAATGCTCCATCCTTATCTCCATGAAAGAGTGGCACTTCCATCTCGTTCTTTTCCTCCATAGCCCAAGCTCTGATACCAATTTGTTAGAATTTGGTATCTACACACAGATGTAAGTGACAACCACACAAGTATATCTATGAAGAACTTTCTGTTGTCAAATCTATTCTCCTTCTTCTTCTTCCGTTGCTCATGCGCTTCAAGAGAACCGGCTAGCTCATCAATGGTGAGCGTAGCTAGATCTTTGGATTCTTCTATAGCACATACCACGTTCTCAAAGCTGTCGGTCAAAGATCTCAAGATCTTCTCCACCACTCTGGTGTCTGCTACATCTTCTCTATTTCGTTTCAATTGATTCACAATGGTTTGAACACGAGTAATGAACTCGGATACTCCTTATGTGTCCTTCATCTTCATTCCCTCCAACTCAGCACGAAGGGTTTGAAGCCGAACTTGCTTAACTCGGTTGGCTCCTCTATAGACATTTGCCAGAATGTCCCACGCTTCCTTTGAGGTCTCCGCATTCGCTATCTTTTCAAAGTCGGACTCACAGCTCGGAAGAGCATGAACAACGCCGCCTTGTCCTTTGCACGTGTCTCTTTCAACGTTCTAGTTTGGGCCGCCGTGTATCCTGCGGTGGTCGCTGGTTCTGCAAAGCCTTCCTGGACGACCTCCCAAGCTTCCTGGGAACCGAGAAGAGCCTTCATCTGGATACTCCAATTCTCGTAATTCCCTTTTGTCAATTTAGGCAACGTCATATTACTCACACCCTCCATAGCTCTGATACCAATTTGTTAGAATTGAATATCCACACAGATGCAAGAGACAACCATACTTGTGTATCTACAAAAAAAAATTTCTTTTCTATTCTTGCTTTCTTGCTCTTTTTCTCTTGATCTCTTTATCTACATTTCATACAAACTATCAAATGTTATTTATAAGCTATAAAACTGACCAACATAACTCCACACATAATACCCTCATTACTTTATAACTGACATAACTAACTCATTAATATTCTAACTGACATAACTGACTAATTAATATTATAACTAACACAAGAAACTAAAAAACCAAAACTGCTAAAAAACGGAGATTTAAAATTTATCCCAAGGAATAATAAAACAAGACAATGTTTCTTTTATATATCATTCTTAAACTTTTATTTTTAGAATTTTTACATAATAATAAAATAAGAGAAACACAGTTACGTTGTGGCTTTTTCATATTCCAATTGCATCAAGCAGGTGGGAATGTTGAGTGACTGAAACTAATGAATTAGCTACAATAGCACCACTGGCAGCAACTGCAGGGACTCCAATGCCAGGAAAGGTGGAGTCTCCACAACAATAAAGGTGTGGGATGGGGGTTGAATGTCCAGGAAATGAATCTTTCCCAGCTTGCACGGCAGGCCCATATGTTCCTCTGTTCCTCCGTAGGAACCTTTCATGTGTTCTTGGACTTCCAACCAACTTCACTTCACATTTCTCCCTCCTGAAACTTGGGCCCAGTGCTCTCTCCACAGCTTTCCACATTACCTCTGATCTTTCGGCTTTCAGATTTATGTATTCAGCACTCCTACGATCAAGTCCTTCCCACAACTCAAACGGTTCAGTTCCTGGCATATAAGCATGTAACACATGTTTCCCAGGTGGTGCCACATTAGGACTAAGTACACTAGGAACTGATATCAGCACAACATTCTGGTCAGCATCAACCCCTCTTTCCCAGTCATTTACAACTATGTGATGAATTCCCAGATCATCTCGTATACCCTGGTCAATGAGATATTGGGAAAAATGTTATCCATATATAGCTTCAATTCAAGAGAAAGACATTATAAACAAAATAAAACCAGCAAACCTCAGCATCAAATCCCAAATGGAGATGCATGAATGATTCACATTGAGGAGTCGAGTTAATCCTATCCGAGTAAGACTTTGGAACAACTTCTTTAGGTAGCAATTTTAAAGTGTTCCACATCGATGCATTGCTGACAACAGCCTTTTTAGCGCGTATGAACTGCAGTGCAGAACATATAGAATACATAATGAATATTCAACTCTATCAATTAATTGAAATTGATCTTTGTGCCTTTTCTAATGAATCAAAATATACTAATACTAGTACTACTCGATCAGTACTCACTTGACCACTTCTCAGCTTGACACCAATGGCTCTGTCATTTTCAACAACAATCTTTTCCACATGACTTTGAAGAGAAATCCGTCCACCAAATTTCTCTAATCCTCGTACAAGAGCATCAACAATACCTGCACTTCCGTCAAGGGGGTACTCAAGACAGCATCCTGGTTTGTACCATTCTGCAAACATGTAAACCTGAAAAAAGTTGGGGGAAAAGATTTGTTATTCTATTTAGAAATTAAAATTGAGAGCTTATATATGGATGGATTAGGGCATAACAAATGCTACGGAGCAAAACTCTTGAAAGGAGCATATATAATTACCGATTTAATTAATATCTGAATAAATTTATGTAAATTCAAATTGTCTCATTATACGTAGTTACCATCTCTGCTGAGAGTACACCATTAGTTTTCACCCCAGCAAGCAAGAATGAGAGTAGGTCAATCCAATTCCGTATAAAAGGGTCTTTGAGTTGCAAATCATCAAGTATTTCCGAGAAAGGTCTGAGAAGTTTTGTAGCCGCAAGAGCACCCCGAGGTCCCATTTGCATAAAGGATTTTAAGAGAGAAGGGGCATATCTAGCTGCAGCTGTGGAAAGAACACCCAAATCTCCTCTAATAGATAGAGGGGGAAGAGCCATTGCAGCTGTAGACAATGGAAGTACAGCATCCTGTGAAAGAAATTACAGTTTTCCACCATATAAGAGATGACGAAAGCAAAAGCAATAATGAATAGATGAATACTGAGAGAACTCACTAAAAGTTTTTGCCATTCTTGTACAGCATTTGAACCCGCATACTTGTCAAGGTCCTGCAAATAATTATTCAAGCACAAGTTAAAGCTCAAGCTCAGCAGCAAGAATGACATAAAAAAAAAAAAAAAAATGAAGTTCCTAATTCCACCTTGAAAAATTCCGTAGGTCCTATGCGTGACAAGAATTCTCCTTCAGGTATGTAGACCATCCATGAATCATAGGTGGCACATGGGAGAGACTCGCCCAGCACATCCAGAACCTCAAACCATATATTCAGTGAGAGGATTAGCAATAGCATATTAGCACCACTAGACACTGTTACTGTTAATAATAATAATAATAATAAAAAAAAAAGGAATTAATTACCTTACCTGTGCGAGAGGATTAGCCTGAGGACCCCTTGATTGCAAGCCAGAGAATAATGATGGCCCAGAATCAAACTTGTAGCCTTTGATATCAAAAGAATGAGCAGCTCCACCAGCTACATCATGGCTTTCCAGAACTAGCACATCTTCCTTGTATCGTGCTAACAGTGCTCCACAACACAGTCCACCTATACCACTCCCTATCACAACAACATCAGCTTCAACCTTGGAAACCGTGTTTCGTGCCACAACGGATTTCCTAGGATTAGGATTTCGATATCTCACAAGATTAGGATACAAACCAACAACTGTCATCATGCCACCAAATGAATGGTTCGTTATTTGTTTGCACTTTAAACTTTAAACTTGAAACACCTCTCTCTCTCTCTCTCTCTCTCTGTTCTGAGTTTGTAGTAGTTACAATAGCCACGTCACTACAAAGTTCGTCTGTTGGAATATCCTCTTCGCTTTAAAAATATTGGACTACTTCAATTGAAACCAGTAGTTATTCTTTCATAACACATGTATCAAAGTTGTAAAAACAACCCCTCTTTGTCTTTTCCTATGGAGGAAACACAAACCTCACATCATCAAGACATCAATCTTTCCATTAACTTCTGGAACTGGAACGTACATCTCCCACCATGCCCAATTTATTAGTTTCTAATTAAGTTGAAACTTTTCAATTGCACTGTACTTATTTAAAAATAATACTAATATTATCAATAATATTTTATTTTATTTTGCACTTACCTCAATCTTCACAAATAATGAAAATAAATGAAGAGCATTTGACTTTGGCAAGAAAATGAAAACCTGAATTTTATTTATAAACTCATGTTAATGATTTTTCTTTTTTTTTTATCTTCTAATAGAAGTTCTTGTTTAGTAGTGACGGACCCAAGAAAAATTACGATAGAGGAAAAATAAAATATCAAAATTATAAATATTATTAGGACTAATAAAAGGAATTAACTATGGGGAGGGATCATTTAATTCCAGAATAAGATTTAAAAGTCTTACTCCTCATCTCAGTACTTGATTTTCGTTCATCTAACGGTTATCATTTATTTGAAATTAATAATTAATTAATTGTTGTAACTTATTAAATTATAATCGTTGGACGAACGAAAATCAAGAGCTGAGATGAGGAGTAAGACTTTTAAATCTTATGAAGAGTAAGACTTTTAAATCTTACTCTGAAGTCAAATGAACTCTCCCCATTAACTATTATAGATTACCAAAAAAAAAAAGAATTAACTATTACAAGTTTTTTTGACGAAAGGGAAAATTAATAGAATTAATAATATATTATTATTATTATAAAACTATTATTTCATACCTATAATAATAACAAAATCAAAATTTAGGCAAAAACGACTATGGTTGAACGCAAGGTGGTCTAGTAACGTGCTTCATGAGTTAGCTGAACTTCCTCTCTCAAATCCTGATCATGTATAGATTGAGTAAGTGTTTGAGCTAATTTGTAATCTTGAACTTATTTAGTCCCCTTTAATGTATTTTCCATTTTCAGTCATATAATCTGAACTCCACAAGAAACTTCACTGTCGATCAAAAGGCTGAACAAATCGCAGGCTGGCGAGCGTGCAACTTCATCCTTGTAGAGAGAGAGAGTTCCTTCACAGTACAGAGTAGAGGTATTCCAAAATTTACCCAGGCACTCGTTATTTTACACACAGCTAACATTGGATTGTATATATAGGATCTAAGGAAACGGGCAAAATACACTTACGTGGATTTATATTTACAATTATACTGAAAATAATAACTGTACCCGAAACCTGAATATGCCCTTACTCAGTCAACTTATAAGACGAGGCTAGTACATCCACAATTCTTCCAACCAGCAACAAGAAGTAAATAGGACACCATAGAACTGTGACACCAATCCTTTCTTTTCTCTCTAATCCAAGCCATCTTCAACCAATTTATGTCTCAATATTTCAAGCCAACTCAACGCAACACTTGGATGCCGTGCTTTCCACTGCTGTATTGTGAAAGAATCTTTTATTTTTTAACACAAACTCGTTTACTTATAATCAACTGTCTTATATACATTATTTACAATTTGGAATAAAATGATAAACCATTTTCAAGTATACTAATAAAGGCTCAAATTTCAATGGGTGGGTGCATGAGGCAATGCATTAACATGAGAAAAGCATTGCCCTATAAAAATTCGGCATAAACATTTTACATTAGTTACAATTAATGATAAACAAAACTATGTCTTGTATATGTCTATCTTTAAATGCCACTAATACCTACATACTTTGGTGCGGCTTATAAATTTTCAAGTTCACACTTAACTGTTAAAAGACGACCTACATTCAAACGCGGAAACAGCAAAGGAACACTTGGGAATCTCTATTTCCGGCATCTGGCCACTTTTAATCAAATACAGCACTTCCAACCGGGGATGAGAAAAAAAAATGAGTCCATGTAATGTCATTCATGCTTACTTCCAACATAAAATACAGCACTTGTATACTAGACTTGCTATAATGAAAATTTAAGGTAAAAAAATCAAGCATTCTTAAGTTTAAAAGTTTTGCTCAAATCAAGTACGGCTAATACTTCACTCAACTGTAACTGTAATAAGAAACAAACCAAACTCTACCAAAAACGAAGACACGTGATAAAAGCATACCCTTTCGATGAATAAATTTTCACTTAAAGCACTTAGCATCCAAAAGAGGCTCTCCCTCAAAAGGCTCAAAATCTTCAATCATCTGATTGACACGCTCCTTCTGAGCTTCATCAGAGATGTCAACCTTAGTCCACTCGTAGAGCTCCATGTCATAGCATTCATCAATCACGAATTGTGGGACTTCTTGCCCGCGGAAAAGCCACAACCCCTTCACCTTAAATGGTGGCTCTGATCCAATCACAAGCATCTTTCCAAATGCATACTTGCGGGCCAAATCCATCCGCTGAAGAAATCCACCAACCTTGTTCAATGTAACAAAGGATACAGTGTTCTCATCATTGTATTTGTAATCACAGAACCAGAGAGAGTATCCTTCAGGATCATACATGTCCCAGAATCCTGCAAGATAAAAGGAGGATTTAAAATGATCTTACCTCTGCATGCCATTTAAAAAATCTTGACATTCTTTGCAAGAATATTCATAACCACACATTTTGTAATGGATATAAGCTACAATCATAACCCTAACTTACATACATTTTGAAACAATGACACCGGAGGGGATACAATAACAATACCTTTGATTGCAACCTCCCGGAAGTTGGTTTTAGTGTTTGAGTAGAGTCTTTTCCACTCATCCAGTATCATCTTACTTGGAGGAAGAAGATCAAGAGGATTCTTTGGTTTGGGCTTGGGTGCTTCCTCTTCTTCTGCTTCTTCTTTGGGCTTTTCTGGCTCTTGGTTGGCCTCTTTCTTTGGTTCATCCTTTACCTTGGGTTTAGATTCTTTTGGCTGGGAAGGCTTCTTTGCAGATTGAACAGGTGGAATAGCTTCAGTCTGCTTGACCTGACCTAATATCTTTCGGAAGTTTGGCTGATTGACCAAGGTCCAAAAGTATCTCTCAACATGAGGAAACTCTGATGTGAAGCTCTTGACTAAGAGATTAGTGAAACCAAAATACAAATTGCATGTCATTATGATGTCAGCCAGGGTCACGGAATGCCCAACCAAGTAAGTATTGGAGGCAAGATAAGTGTTCAAAGCACCCAAAGCTCTCTTCAGTGCAGCAATTGCGGTCTCCTCGGCCTTCATTCAGACACAAAATTAAGATCAGACTAGAATATCTCGGCAATACATTACATGGACATCAAGGATAACACAAACTGTGACCTGACGAATTGTACACATATCCACTATTCAATACATAATACCATTCAGTTGCAGCAAAACTCTCCATTATCCTTGATGTGTTACCATCGACAATTAACACATGTTATTATATATTTGCAACAGGATAAAAGAACTAAACTAACTGGCATTTTGCATGGAGGGTCAACGTGAAGTCGTCCCACCAATTCTCCAAATTACAAACTTTAGCAAAAAAATTCTTTGAACACGACTTACTGGAGGAAGGTATGGTGCTCGTCCCATTCTTGGGCTGTACCACTTAATAAGATTAGCATCAATCTCCAATGATGAAAAATCAATCCATTGTTCAATGTGGGCCTGAAACATCAAAACATAAAAAATATGAGTACAAAAGATAATAGCAAAACAAATCAGCCTTTTCTAGAAGTCACATACATAGAACATGAATACCCCAAGAATAAACATTCATGAGAATTTGAAGAGGAAAATAGACTTACATAATCAATCAAAGAAGATCCATACAGAGTGTTGTCACCCTTCAATCGAGTAACTGCAGCAAACCAGCAACCCCAACAAATAAAATTCACAATAATCCACATAAACTGTATTATATCCAATGCATGAGGATAATTGTATATTAACATGATTGAATTAGCTTATGTAAACCCCCAAATCATGGTCTTGTGGTTTCGAAAAGCTAAATAAGACAAAGAGACATCCTATACATAATATTACTTACCATATCGAGCAATGGCATTGCTCTCGAATATTGGACCATCTGGTGTTTCCAAGACAGGAATCTGGAAGAATAATTAGGTAAATATAAGGTCAAATCAAAGTCAAGTTTCCAAGAGTGCAGACATATATGATACCTTGCCAATAGGATTCATCTTGAGAAATTCAGGGGTTTTATTAGAGACACCCATCTCAAAATTTGGGGCAAATTCAACAAGCACACCAGCATACTCCGCTGCAATGAGTGTCTTGTAAGCATTTTTGTTTGATTTCCCTGCATGAAGGATCTACAAGATAATTAATTAATTAGAACTAGAACACCCAATAGTAACTAAACTAGTAAGTGCAGCTTCCATCTAAATATGAATATGAATATAAATACAAATATAAATATAAATATAAAAGATGCAGATTGGTGTAGTGTGAGTCAGGCTCACCAGCGCCATGGCTTGAAAGAGAAAACAAAGGTGGGAGCTGATGTTTAAGATCTGAACAGAACCTGCTCATTCAAAGCAAACTCAAAACAATTGAAAGACACGACACAGCACAGCACAGCACAGCACAGAGTATTGTGACTGTCAGTGCAATCAGATCCAACACAAAGCCTATCTTATCTAGGGTTTTCTAACTCACCGGGTCGGACCACTTCCACCCGACTTTCTTTTTCATTAACTAATTAATAATTACTAGTTAATCTCATTCGCAATATCCATTTCTATGTTTTTCATTCTATATTAAACATTAATTTGCTTCAAATGTAAGTCTTGGACATTGCATTTGCATCCTTATTAGCTTCTTCTTTTTTTTCAATAATTTTTTTTAAAAATGTTAATTTAATAAATCTAACCGTTAAAACCTGTAATATTAATTTGATGATAATGTACGCAAATTGTACATCAATTATATAGTGTAAATAAAACACAATATGCAGCTTTCATGTTTGTGCCAAAAATATTTGTGTTTGTGTCAATTTAAAAATGTCGTGTCATGTCAATTTATAAATTCAAAAATAATTCATTCGAATTAGAACATTATACAATTATATATTTACTTCACTTTTATTTATTAATTTAAAGTTATTTATGTAATTTTCATCTTAAAAGTTAAAAAAAAAAAAAACTATAAAAACATCTGTTAATTATGGGATACTTTACACATTAATTACCTTATGTGAAATATAATAATCCGAATTAATTAGTAATTAAAAATGATTAATTAGATGAAAATTTTAAATTTTGAGTTAAGCTCTAAATTCGGGCCAAAAATATAATATTAAAAGTTTTGAGACAAAAATAAAATTATGCAAAATTTCTCAAGACCCTTAAATTTAATTATGGATAATACACTTAATCTAAATCCAATTAGCCTGAAAACCATAAGTTAAGGGAATTAAGTGAGTAATTATATAACATGATGAGTAAAGGGCCAAATGGGTCACTACCTAGGCAAGATATTTCTAAAAAAACTAACACATTATCTCTCCCCATTCACTTTCCTATTTCTTTCTTTCTTTTATGTGGAAATCTCCTCTCTTTCCCCAAAAACTCTTTTTATCTCTTCTTCTTCCTTGTTCGACTAAGCGGGTGCAAGGCACTCATTCTTCTTCTTCCTCACTCATCCTCCGTAGCAACCCGAGAACCTTACACCATGAAGCTAAACATTAGAGGAAAAATCATATTTCTCTCAATACCCAATGGGGGTAAGCATATACTCATATACTAGCTTGCACACATTTTTTATACTAGCATCTTGAAGTTGCAGTGACTCCGATGAACAGTTCTCTATCCCTCCTTTTCACAACCTTGTGTCAACACCCGTCCCACATCCGCATACGAGACACTACAACAATTTTCCAACTCCTGATTTTTTAGACATTTTTGAGTCATTCCTAATCCACGATTGTCTCTATTTCACTAGGGTCAACTGCAACTCCATCAGCAGAGCTGACATAACCTACGAAATTTACTTCACACATTAATATGGGTGAGTTTAGGTCATATTCCAATACTCTAGTCGTGTCTTAACTTATAACTTCAATCAAAGGCGGACCAACATTGTTGCCTGTGTCTGCACATGCAGACACAAAATTTTGAGGATTTTTTTTCTCAAAGGGGTGGATGATTTTGAATCGTAAAATCGCTAGGATCACCGACAATAGACGCGTGCATGGGACGCATCATTGCAATCTCTTCCTTGAACTGTCGCATGATCCTCGCCTCCTTTTCGCGCACTTTCACAGAGGGATCAGGAGCAGAGGCATCGCGCTTTATTTTGCAGTTTCAAGGTTTTAGTTTCTTATTACAGGAAACTTCCCATAACCAGAGACAGATTAATTACAGACCTTCAGCAGCCTAGTTTCCTCTTTGGATTGTTCATCTATTGCTGAGAGTTCTTTGGAGTATGCAAATGATAATGCTTTGCAGCTTGCTAAGGTGCTTTGGAATAACTTTTCACTCACATCAATTCAACTTGTTTAAGGGGAGCATTACTTGCTCTTTTCTACAGCTCCACGATCTTGTCTGCATTTACTATGGTTGGACTTGTTCTACTTGGTATACAGCTCAAATCAAAGAAAAGTTGAGCTTTTGGTGCTTCCATCCCTCAGTTTTGCTTGTAAACTTAAAAAAAAAAAAACTTAAAAAGAGTGAGTTAATAGATGGCCACCGCTAAAGCTTTTTAGTTTCTGTAACTTCTTTCAATTTTTTATTTGAGAAGCTCATATGATATTAACTGATTAAATCTCTGTTTTAAAATTTATATTGCGTTTTTTATTACGCAAATATTTTTTATATTTTAAAAAAACTTATATATAACGTTCAAGAAATATATGTTAATTTTATTATTATTGAAAAAATTTCTAATAAAAATATGAAATTTATGGTTTTTCTTTTCTTTTCTTGTTTATATATTTTTTAATACATTTAAAATTTTCTTTAAAACAAATTTCTGGGTCCGCCACTGACTTCAATAAGTCATTACTCTTAAAACAATACCGTAATTTTTTTTGTAATACAAAATCATGTTCATTTCATTCGATACATACGATTAAGATATCAACCACACAATACTGTACCTTAGTTCACATAACACCTGCAAAATTAACCGTTCAAAAAAAAGGTGAATTAATTCCACACAATAACATACCTCAACCCACGTAGCGCCTACAAAATTAGTTGTCAAGTAAAGGATGAATTAACATCAACAAGTTGCAGCAGTCCTTAACATATATTACTAACTTAGTATCAAAGGTGCTCACATGCAATAGATTAATATTTTGCATATTAACCTAAAGTCATGGAGATCACTCAACTCACATAATTAACAGTACATGCATATATCTTGCACATATTCGTTCACACGTGGCATATTGCCATCCAGTCCAGATGTTACACACTAATTCTGTTATTGGAAATCCCACTTAATATTTAGCTTTCCTTGAAGTTTCTATGAGTCTTCCCATTATTTTTAGTTTCCATTATTGGAAATTACACACTAACTTGTACCTCTATGAGTCTGCTCACACGTGCCAAATTTGGGTCAATGGAATTCACTCACACGCACAAGACATCATCTCTAATATTTCTAGAATAAAGCACAATCACAAATTATGCTTTAGCATAAGGCATCTTACCTCTCATGCGTTAACAAGGCATATTCACATACACCAAGCAATCTCATGCAAACATATGTGTAAGGAACATGTACTTCATTTACATCATGTTATATTTGTATCTTATTGCCTATCGAGGCCTGCATAAATCCATGCATAATTAAAGTATGTTTTCTCGTACATTTCTTATTGTTCTACTTAGTTGTAGAGTATAAAATTCAATCGCAAAGACTCTAAGTCAGTCTATCAATTCAACATCATACCATGAGGAAAATTAAAATTTATTAATTTGTGCACCCTGTGTACAATGATTACCTGATGAGTCACCCTCAAAATAGTGCCCTCGTGACATATCGATTTTTCTGTTATAGTGCATTTACAAAATCCTTTATTTATATATTATTATTATTTTTATTATTGTGGTTTTACATGGATCACAAGTATTTATGTCATCAAAACTACTCTTAAACTTAAATTACCACCTTATTCCCACCACGACAATTCCATTGTCATTGTCAAGCACTCTCTCTGCTTGTTTTTTCTTCTAATAATAAATAAATTATATGCATCAATTCTTAATTATTATTATATTTTTTTGTGAAAAACACATCATCTTTTTCAATACGATTGCTAGCATTCTTAGGAATGTTATAGAATGACCTTCTTACTCAACATTTTCATCGCAATTGTTATGTTCACTTCTATCACTATTGTGGCTAGGGAATTTTGCATCATCGGTGATTCATATTTCTTCTTGGAAATTCTCAACTTTGTTATCATGACCGGAGCTATTTTCACAACAGATCTAATAACATTTCAACTATGACAGTTTGAAAAGTTAGTTTATAAATACAAGCCCTTTCAAGTGCTCCTACAAATACAATGACATTTTCGTCTCATATTTCTTATATTTGTGCCAAGTGCATATATGTTAAAAATATAAATGTAAAAATTATTACATTCACTTAATAACTTACATTTTTAAGAGCATTGATTCATAACGTGATATCAAATTAAGTAAGCACATTAATTAATATATCTTTCTGTTCAAGCAAAGGGAATCCATTACTGATAAGATTCACAATAATATTTCTAATAAATTAATCATAAACAATTGCCATAACAGGACTCAATCACATGTAACTTGCACATAGTATTATTTTATTTTATTTTTTAAATATTAAACTAATCTATGATCGGGAGAGTATTAGGGCACAAATGTTTTCCACAACTTGAACCATTTAAGACATTTTAACTGCTTCCTCGTCATGTGAGTTAGTATTTATGAGTTGCTTTTGGTATGACCATTTTATATATATATATAGAGAGAGGGGTAGTACCATTTGATACCGGTGTCAAATTTTGAAATTTGACATTAAATCTTAACAGTTGACTTCCGTTAATCAACGGTTATAATTTCTGTTAATCAAACTCATTAATTAATTATTAATTCTCATATAAGTTACGAAAAAATATTTGATAGGTCAAAAAAATTTCGGAAAAATTGGGTAAAATATTGATGGAAATCTGAATTGAAATTATCAAAGTATCCATTATTTTGAAATGAGATTCTGAGCTCATAAAAAACAAGACATTTTTGTCTAAAAAGTTAAAATAAGATTATGAGTTTATGGAAAAAAAAAATTACCATGGATGGGGTGATATTTTTTTTTGAAGTGTATAACTACAAATAGGAATGATGGAGAAATAATTTTGCTGGAATTTTTTTAAATTTCCTTATATCAAACATGATCAAAAAAATATTTTTCATTCTACTTTTCCATCGTTCCAAACAAAATACTCGTATCAGACACCGTTAAAATAAAGCGTGTGACAACAAGTGGGGTAAAAATAGGTGTTGAATTCTATTTGTGAGAAGCATTTAAGCCTTAATCTAGATATCGTCACAAATTATATTGGTTATGAATATGATTGTTAAAATCTCGATTTATCACTATAATTTTATTATTTTATGATTTTTTTTCATCAAAATAATTTTACTAATATTCCAAACACTTTTATATTTTTATAATTTTTTATGTTTTTTTTACATTATGATTTTATATTTTACGATTTTTTAACCCCTTTTAATTTTACGTAAAATCTCGATTTTAACAATATTGAATATGAATAGATAAATTAATTAAAATATTAAAAATATAAAAATAAAGTGTGTAGGTTTGTGGAATGGATATTGGTCTGAGTTGAGCGAGTGAGTGAGATATAGACAGAGACAAATAGAAAAAAGAAAAAGAAAGAAAGGGTGGCAGTGCTGGAGACAGGCTGTCACCAACGCAACGCAACGCAACACCTCATTAGGGTTGGGTTTGGTTCTTCGTCTTCGTCTTCGTCTTCAACTTCAACTCCACTAGATCCATTCGTCAATATTCAATGTTCATTATTCTCTCTCTGCACTGTAAGCTTTCTCTTCATCTCCTTACTTTTTTAATCTTAGATTTTCATTGTGGTTTCTCAGAATTAGAAATAAACCACCATATTTAGTTTCAGATTCACTTTTTCCTACCCACCACCACCAGTACTCTATTAATTATGATTTCTCTTTCTTCACTTCAGTTATTGCTATGAGAATCAAATTTATTATGTTAACATGTTCTTGATGCTTACAGTTACAAGTGATCCTTTATTACCTCCCCGAACGTCTTTGTTTCTTTTTGTTCTTCCCATGGAGCCCAAGGGCAAGCAAGGGCAAATCCAGTTCCATGTCTGAACCGTCCTTTGATCCACCAACTGACATGTATTATTTTGTTGACGTGATGTAATCTCAACTAGCCGCCTCACATGACTTTTGCATTTTCATTCAAATGACTCAGTTCATTAATTCCTTTCCTATCTATTAATGAATTTGCCTCAACTTTCTGCAAATGCTCCATGAAAATATAGTGCTTAGTCTCGCCTTCATTAATTTGTGTCATTTTCTAGATTCTTTTCCTTTTAACTTGGTTTCTTTACCACCCATTTATCGGAATTGGAAATGGATTGTGAGCATTCAACCACTTTCTATTAAGCCTCTTCCTTATTTTAAAGTTATAGTCGTTTGTTCAGAAAAAAATTGTGTAATGATTTAAATATAAACTAGACACTGAATGAAATTCTATATTCAGTTGCTATTCAAGTATTCAACGTCCAATGTTACTTATGCTATTCTTTTCTGCATTATATAGGTACTTGAATTGAATTATTATTCCTACAACATACGGGTTCTGAGCTGGATCTATATTGCCCCGAGTCTGATTGCCATCTTAAGCATATGGAAGGGTGCTACTTGATTGATCAGGAATTTTGTATAGTCATCCACCCTGAGTGATTATGAATATCTAAGTTGGGTTCAATAATTGTCGTCTATTATTAATTCTATGAACTGAGTCTGTTATACTTCTATTCTGGAAAGAAAGCACATACATCAGAGGAATTTTTGTATCCATGCTATCAGAGAGCATGCGTGGAATCTGTACTTCGGGTAATGCCCCTGACAAGATTTTCTGCCGATGCATTCGGTGTGGTGACAATTTGTTTAGTAGCCCTATTACTTCTTCTTGGGTTGTTATGCATTGCATATTCATTTTACTTTCGCTCACGTATTAGTCATCAGGCTTTTGTTCAGCTCAGTTATTTTAGTGGTCCTTGGATCATCAGAATCACATTCATTCTATTTGCAATCTGGTGGGGTCTTGGTGAGATTATTCGGTTAAGTTTGCTAAGACGTGCCCTCCACTTAAAATGGCAGGAAACTGTCTGCAAATGTTACATTGTGTCAAATTTGGGGTTTGCAGAACCATGTCTCTTCCTCACACTCGTGTTTCTCCTTCGTGCACCCCTACAGAAATTGGAGACTGGAATCATGAGCAGAAAATGGAATGGGAAGACAGCTGGATATATTCTGCTTTACTGCCTTCCAATTTTTGTTCTTCAGCTTTTTATTATTTTGGTTGGACCTCAATTAAACAAGAATAAGGGTTCTGGGAAAATGTTGCCTCATTATTTTACAAGTACAGCTGCTCCCGCTTCATTGACAAGGGAGCATGATATTGCCCTCTGTACTTACCCTCTACTCAGTACTATTCTCCTTGGCCTTTTTGCCATTGTCCTGACTTCCTACCTTTTTTGGCTTGGAAGTCGGATTTTGAAATTAGTTATCAATAAGGGTTTGCAGCAGAGGGTTTACACATTGATATTCTCAGTTTCAGGTTTCCTTCCATTAAGGGTTCTTTTCCTTGGTTTATCTGTTTTATCTGGACCTGATCATTTTATGTTTGAAGCCTTTGCTTTCTTGGCTTTTCTTGCTCTTGTATGTTGTGCTGGGGTTTGCATGTGCATGCTTGTGTACCGTCCAGTTGCAGATTGTTTAGCATTGGGGAATTTACAAGACTTAGAAGCTAGGAGATTTGATGTTGATCATAATGATACCATGTCCCTTATTGGTAACCAGAATCATCAGGAATATAATGCTGAAGAAAATGCTGGGTCTAGTCCTGGTAGGTATTCTGATGCATCAACAATGCGTGGTTCAATTTCATTTCGGCTATTGGAAAAGGATGGTACTTCAGCAGGGACACTTGTTGAACTAAGCCTCTTCTCTCCCAGTCGACATGCAACCCCTCCGGGATCGCCTCCTCTCCTAGGCTGGCCCATGCGATCCCCAGAACAAGTAATTGGACCATAAAGGCGGGGGGCTTGAAAATGATTAATTTGGGTTGATACCCAATTTTGTTGTGAAAGAAACTGATTGTATAAAGGGTTTAGATTCAATAAGGTTTTTATTCTTGTTTTGTCTCCTAATTCTAGGTATAATGCTTTTGCTTTGGTATTTAGTGTGAGTAACGTTTTTTCTTTCTTGTACCGTCTCGACAACTTTTCTTTTACCTGTTTCTAATTTTGTATTTGAAATGTTTGAATACCTTTATATGGTCATATACGTTCGTCGGAGCTGAAGTTGGTTATTGGTGAACGCTGTCGTGTAAAATTTTTGGGGCAATGAATTGGATATTTGAATGGATTCTCTTATATTTATATTTATGATGTGAAGGATTTTAATTTTTTATGACAAATCAACGGTACGAGAGAAAAAAAGTATATTAGGATAAGGAATAATAAAATTATTAATATTGATTTGTCTATAAATAATTATTCCTCTATATATGAGGGGGTTTATTTTCGTTGAATTTATTTATGGTTTTTAATTTTTTCATATAGTAGAAGATAAATATTTCATGCTATAAATATATCTCGTGTGATGTTTATATCTATTAAAAAAAGAGAAAACATTTTCTCCTACTCGTGACTCATAGTATAAGTGGGTCTTATTTTGAATTTTTTTTTTCTTCATTATTTTGTGGATCTCATTTAGTCATTTATGTTATGAGTCATTAGTAGGAGAAAAATTTTCCCCTTTAAAAGAAAAAAATGTTTTCTCTTAAAAAAATAACAAGAATATGAGTTTAGGCATATCTTATGTGGAGTCCACATCTATTAACAAATAAAAAAAATATTGCACGAAAATCAAAAGATCACTAGTAGAAAAAAATAACTCTCCTACGAGAAAATGTTTTCCCAAAGAATATATTGCACAAAAATTAAAAAATCATTTGAAGGAGAAAAGAGTTTTCCGTAACATGAGAAATTTTTTCCTTTTATTTATATACCATTATGGGCTCAATCGATGGTGAGGTGAGCAATTCTTCCTTATTGTCAATGAAATCCTATGTAGTACCGATACGACACGCGACACGTGACACGACATGACACTCCGACACGTCAATCTTAAAAAATTATGGATTTCGACACGTTGGGACACGTTTTAATATTAAATAATATTTTTAATATATATAGTGTATATTTCATTTAATATTTAATAATTTAACAAAAAAATGAAACTAAATTAATAATACCCATTAACACGTTATAAAGATGGAAGCTTTAATAAAAAAAATAAGAACTGAGATGAGAGAGAGATATAATATCAGATAGAGAGATCAAATCATATTAGATAGAGATCAGAGAGAAGAAGATACAACAAGAGCGTAATAGGAATTGACAACAATGATGCTGAGATGATCTCTTATCTACTTAAGGGAAAAAAAAGAAAAATAAAATAAAATTGATATGATCAGGTGGAAGCTTTATTAATATATTTTAACTTTTAAAAAAAAAATTAAAAAAAAAAATTAAAAAATAAAATAAAAAAATTACGAAAATGCCATTTGACCGTGTCGGACACGGTCAAATTCGCGTGTCGGAATGGTCAACGTGTCGGAAAAAGTCAACCGCGTGTCCGACACCGTGTCGGAGCGTGTCGGAGCGTGTCACCGTGTCGGAGCGTGTCGGACCCGACTCTTCCTGTTTTTACAAGTGTCCGTGCTTCCTTGATGAAATCACGTAGTTCTCTTTAAAAAGCAATGGTTTTAAATTTATTTATTCTATTTTTTTTTTGGTAATTTAGGGTTTTAATGAAAAGAAATGAATAATTAAATCAATATTTAAAGATAAAGACAAGTATGATGGGAATATTTCTTATTGAGTAGTATATTGTTACATCATGCGAAAAATTAGTTTCATAATAATATTTACTGAAGTAAAACTATTTCCATTTAATATGCTTCCTTAATTTGATTTTTAAAACTATAATTTGCATCGTGTTATAGAAACTTATTGAAATATGATAAAGTTTAAGTAAATTTGATTTGATTTCAATTTATTTATGTGAATTGATCATTTATTCTTATAATTAAATTATTCTTTCTGTTAAATAAAAGATAATAAAATAAAATCATTAAGAAAAAAAATTATACTTAATGTATTTTAAATATGTAAATTGATTTATAAACAAAATAAAATGATATTTGTTACCAAATAAAATAAAATGATATTTTTTTTAAAAAGATTTTCTTAAATATGAGAATTGAATCAAATCAATATTTTTACACAAATTTCTTACAATTTCAAGCCCGACACACACAAAAAACAATCAATTTTTTAACCAAATGGCCTTATTATATTACTTTTTACGTGATTATTATTTATTAATATAATTAGCCAGGACACTGATATTTATTTATGAAAAAAATATGTATCATTTTAAAGGTTGTAAAATTGTGTCATTGTAAGTGAGAGAAAGAGATATATAAAGGAAGGAAGAAAATGGACAAAAAATATAAAGACATGAGTCTCACAAGCTGTGTCGTTTAAAAGGATAAATAATTTTCTCTTTGTTTATTTACCCAAACCGTTTAACATAAAATTATAATGTAACTGTATTAATTAAGAAATTAAATTGAAAGACAACGGCAAAATAAATTGCCTGGAGTTTGTCGTGAAACATTCGCATAAATTAATCGACGGGGGCGTTTGGTAGAAAGTCTTTTTTAAGATTATCGGAAAATTGAATATTTTTAAATTCTTAATTTTCGGATATTATAATAAACGGAATATTTTCATCATATCTTTTAAAATGGTGATTTTCAAATAAATTTTTTTTTTCCTCTATCAAACGTCCATGAATACAAATATTAAGAAGGGATTTTGGAATTAAGAAAAGGGAAAAGTTTATCATTTAAAAGAAGGTAAAATTGTGTCATTTTAAATAAGAAAATGAGATAGATAAAGGAGGAGAGTGTGGACAAAAAAATATTAAGGTACGGTTTTTATTTTTTTGTAAGAGTAAAATGACATAAATTGTGTAATTTTTTTTGTGTAACTTAAAAAGGACTTTTCTCTTAATAAAAGAAAAGAAAAAATAGGTGGAATGAAAAATTTTATTATGAGAGATATATATATGAGAAATCATTATCTCCTTCTACAGATAAGAATTTTTTCTTACTCAAATTCGTTTTCCGTGCCAATTAATTTTTCTTTTCTTTTTTAATTTAAAATGTGGGACCCACATTTAACTTATCTCTACTTTTTTTCTCTCCTACTATCCTACAACATAAGAAAATATGCACCCTATATATATATAGAGAGAGAGAGAGAGGGTTGGTGACTTCACTGACTTGGTGGTGTTGTAATGTAAATTATGAAAATGTGATGAAGGAATAGTCCAGCCGTCCAAATCTGACTTTTTGTTGTTGTGTGTGTCAGTGTCAGATTACCAAAAGTATTGGATCCAATACATTCCATTCATTTAAAATTAAAACACCCCACCCCACAGCATAAGATACAATACAAAGTATACATAATAATAATAATAATAATAGTAATAATAATAATAATATTCCATTCCGCCGGTTGAGTTCTACTATCACTCTTATTCCATTCTGAATCTGAGGTATGTAATCGTAATGTATTGACTTCTTCCTCCTTCCATCTATATCTGTATCTGAGGTATGTTTCTGCCTCTTCCAAAGTCATGCTCTAATTTACTGCTTTTCTTCCTGTTTCCATGCTGCCAATATCTCTGTTTTCCTTGAATTTCCTCAACAACCTACATCTAATTATTATTTTTTGTTGGAGGAGATAATGTTTGATTCGAACTTCGAATGTAATCAACGGACTTTTTCTTTTCTTTTTATGATTTATTATTTTACTTTGCCTTGATGATTTTGCTGCAATTATTCAATGTTAACAGAATTCATAGCTCCCTCGCCAAATCTTTGTTTGACACGGGGAAGATGGTAGAAAATAGTTTTGTTGAAGATGACAACATAACCGGCGAGTCTTCTAGCATGAAGGTAGAGTAAAAAAGTGTTATTTATTATACCTCGTGTTCTTTCCCCCTACACTTTTTTGAACATGCTAGATTTAATGTCATGTATACTTTGGATATTCTTTGGAGGCTTTCAAAGTTCAAGAGATAATCATAGCTGTAACAGACTAGCTCTGTTGTGTATGTTAATCTCGAGGATCTGTAGAGAAAGAAACAGATACTTTGTTCCTATGGGAGGGAAAGATATAATCAATATGCCACTCCTACTGTGAGTGAAATTGATATTACTTTTGGATGTGGAAGCTAAGTTTTCCATCCTAGAACTTGAAGCATTTAAATAGGTGGATTATATCCTATCCTATCCTATCTGAAGAATATAATACTTTTTAAAGATCCAACTAGTTCACTGATTCTCAAATTTTATATTTTAAGCCCTTAATAGAGATTCGACATCTAACATCCTTTTTTTATGCCTAATTCTAACATCTACTTTTATGCTTGATTAAGGTTGACCCGGGGAAACCTGCAGGACTTACCTGGCAGCGAAAATTAAACAATGAAGGAAGTGCTCCATTAGAATTCACCTTATCTTTAAAAGAGATGATTCATCTGGTAAACCTACTCGTGAGATGATGAATTTTTTTTTTTTTTTTTTTTTTTGTTCTTTTCCTTTTCACAGTTTAGTTGTTTTAAGAAGAACATCTAAGTCCTATGATTTGATGACATGATAATTGCAGCACAATCCTTAATCGTGTATGTAATGAACTTGTTCCAATTGGTCATCTGATCTGGAACATTTTATTTAAGGACTTAATTAATTATTAGTCATACTCAACTTGTCAAGAATATTCATATAATGTTGATGCCCTAACATTCAGTGTCCCTGCATTATCTTGAAAAACAGGTTAATATCTTTCAACCAAACTTTTGAAAAGAATTTTAAATCTCAGCATTCTGCATTCTTTATTTCTGTTTTAGGACCAGACCCTTCAATGTCATCTCCCTTAAATACTTGAATTCTTTGCTACATTATCCATATTGGGTTTGTATAATATATCAACACTATGATTTTATTTGTTTGCTTAATGCTGTAATATATTTAATATATTTAAAATATAGGAGCATTGGGCATTTGATAGGTTTAGCAATCCTTAGATTATTCTGTGATTTGATAGGCTCCAATCGGTTATCGGCTATGGCGCCATGTTCGGGAAGAAGCTGCCAAAGGAAGGGTAATATTCTTTTATCAATAAATTTCTATCTTGATTTGTCCTTATGAAGTGTCCATCTGGTTATCTTTCCCGCACTGTTTTTTGCTTTTGTTTGTTTGCTTGTTTCTATCCTTTTT